CAAAGCAGCTGATAGCTACTTTGTCAGGACATTATATATCTGCTGTAACATGAATAAGTTGAATACGTTATCTATGGCATAACATTCCTTTAAGAAAAGCATAAAAATGACATATGAGGTAGTGTAGCTTACTGCTACAATTTACTTTTAAATAAAAGTAAATTGTTTTTTAAAGACGTACTGCATATATATGCAAAATCAAATATGCCATGAGAGATGGACTTCAGTATCTTTATACAATGTTTTGCCTGTCTCTCACCCGTTTAGCAGAGGAAATGTGTGCTGTGGCAAGACTCGTGATACTGAATGAGTCTCTGAATGTAATAATGAGAAATGCACCAGCTCTAAAGGCAGGGTGCAAATGGAAACAATCCAACACCACGGAGGAAGTAATGTTAGGTAAAAAAAACAGTACATGCTCACATAGTGAGAAATGTTTAACAAGGAAGACAAGGCTGAGAACTTCTTAAATTGCTTTCAAGGATAGAAATTATTGCTCCACTCTTCCATTGCAGGTACACTATATTGCCAAAAGTATTTGCTCACCCATCCAAATTATTGGAATCAGGTGTTCCAATCACTTCCATGGCCACAGGTGTATAAATTCAAGCACCTAGGCATGCAGACTGTTTTTACAAACATTTGTGAAAGAATGGGTCGCTCTCAGGAGCTCAGTGAATTCCAGCGTGGAACTGTGATAGGATGCCACCTGTGCAACAAATCCAGTCGTGAAATTTCCTCGCTCCTAAATATTCCACAGTCAACTGTCAGCTGTATTATAAGAAAATGGAAGTGTTTGGGAACGACAGCAACTCAGCCACGAAGTGGTAGGCCACGTAAACTGACGGAGCGGGGTCAGCGGATGCTGACGCGCATAGTGCGAAGAGGTCGCCAACTTTCTGCAGAGTCAATCACTACAGACCTCCAAACTTCATGTGGCCTTCAGATTAGCTCAAGAACAGTGCGCAGAGAGCTTCATGGAATGGGTTTCCATGGTCGAGCAGCTGCATCCAAGCCATACATCACCAAGTGCAATGCAAAGCGTCGGATGCGGTGGTGTAAAGCACTCCGCCACTGGACTCTAGAGCAGTGGAGACGCGTTCTCTGGAGTGACGAATCGCGCTTCTCCATCTGGCAATCTGATGGACGGGTCTGGGTTTGGCGGTTGCCAGGAGAACGGTACTTGTCTGACTGCATTGTGCCAAGTGTAAAGTTTGGTGGAGGGGGGATTATGGTGTGAGGTTGTTTTTCAGGAGCTGGGCTTGGCCCCTTAGTTCCAGTGAAAGGAACTCTGAATGCTTCAGCATACCAAGACATTTTGGACAATTCCATGCTCCCAACTTTGTGGGAACAGTTTGGAGCTGGCCCCTTCCTCTTCCAACATGACTGTGCACCAGTGCACAAAGCAAGGTCCATAAAGACATGGATGACAGAGTCTGGTGTGGATGAACTTGACTGGCCTGCACAGAGTCCTGACCTCAACCCGATAGAACACCTTTGGGATGAATTAGAGCGGAGACTGAGAGCCAGGCCTTCTCGTCCAACATCAGTGTGCGACCTCACAAATGCGCTTCTGGAAGAATGGTCAAAAATTCCCATAAACACACTCCTAAACCTTGTGGACAGCCTTCCCAGAAGAGTTGAAGCTGTTCTAGCTGCAAAGGGTGGACCGACGTCATATTGAACCCTATGGATTAGGAACGGGATGTCACTTAAGCTCATATGTGAGTCAAGGCAGGTGAGCAAATACTTTTGGCAATATAGTGTATATCCATACAACTGCAGACACACATCTTTCTATAAACCTTTGCAATATTGCAATTTACATTTTAAATTTTCTACATGTACTTTAACAAGACTGCCAATTATGTTATTAGCAGATAACTAAGTACTATCTTGGCAATAAAGTAAATGTTTCGGCAAAGACTTTCTAAATGGCAGCCAATGGATTGCCCTAATGACATAATGTTTTTTTGTTTTGTTTTACTCAGTAGGAAGCATAAGATTGTAAGTTAAGCTACTTCTGAAATGTTGGTCTTTTTATTCAGAATTTTATTTTGGTTCTTTTCTTAACAAAAGCTCCTTGTCGAAATATTACTTTGAAAAAGCAATCCATACTTTTGTTACAACTCAAATGAATTGCTACAATTCATTTTAGCTTGGTGTTAAAGTAAAGCATCCTTATTTGGCCATACAGTATGGTGTGATTAAAACTTGCTGGATGGCTTTTAACCAAAAGCACTCAGATTAACTGACCAGCTGTTAGTGGATCTACTTAAAACTCAGCAGATTTAAGTGATTTACCAAAGTTTTAGTTTTGCAGATTTTAAAATATGCAATGCTTTGCTGCTGTAAAGCAGAAAAACCTCCTTATTAGCCATAAACAAATACTGTATGGTCTTTAAACCAATTTCTTCTATTTGAATTTTGATCCAGTTTTTGTATTATTTTCATATTACTTTGACTGGATTGTATTTTCAGTTTAAATTATTGGCCTTCCTTTTATTCCAATGTCCTATTTTTTTATTTAAAAGTATAGCTAATTTTTAAAATTATACATTTAGAAAATGTCCAGAGTAATGTAGAATAAAAGTAGGATTGTCAAAAATATATAACACAGAAATAATTATTTTATAGAGGTATTAGATTAAATCTTACATCAGAGAACCTTTGGTTGGAATTAGCATTGAGGAACCTGGAAACCAGCTGGCAAAAAGTACTGAGCAAGAATGGGCGAGTGTCGGTGTGTCATTTAATGACCAGAAGCAGATCAAACTTTTAGCTCTCACCTTTAATTATTATTTTTGTTCATCACTGCTCTGTAACTAATTTGCTTTCTTATCTGATTTGTAAGCCGATGAAATGAAAGCATTTTCTGTTAATAATAATAAGCGGTCATAATCGACAATACTTTAGAGGAGATTCTCCAGAAATTTGCAAATATTACTTAAAGTGCTAGAATTAGCTGGTTTTGTGTTTCTTATCTTAAAACTGTATCAAAAATATTAAACTAGCAATAAAATTTTACTGATATAATGTGGCTGAGCACATAGATGTTAAACTAGTTGTTTCGGTCTGAAAGTTGAAATGAAAAAAAGAACACAATTGATTTGCATTATTATGTAATCAGGTAAGGAAAGGAGAATTGTGTTTTTTTTTAAACAAATAGGTTAATAGCTTGTTAAATGTTATAGTGGTTCTGCCTGAAACATATTTTCTGGTATTGACCTTAGTAATTGGTGAACTAACATTTTTATTTAATGACACAGTTGAAGCAACACCACGTAATTTATGGCTACTAGGGGAGTTAATTCAATTTCAATTCAGTTTATTTATATAGCGCCAAATTCACAACACATGTCATCTCAAGGCACTTTACAGTTCAACCAGTTAGACCTGTAACTTCCAGGTTTTACTCTTTGAAAGCAAAATTAAACAGGATCCCTCTGGGTTAACATAAATCTGATAACAAACAAGCAGATTCAGAAATCATGGATTGTCTAAATCCAAATTCACCCCTTTAGATTTAGATCAGAGAATAAATATAGATCAGGTTATTGCCATATATTTTCTAGTCAGATGACACCTTTTTACCTTGGTTAGCTCTGGTGGCGACACGACATATGCTGCACAGGATCAGGTTACATAGGTGAGTTTTTTGAGAAGGAAAGCCCACCTGGAGCATCAATGCGCATCAAATTCATTATGTCAAAAGATATGCACTGTTGCATATGCCCAGATCGTTATTAATATGATGCGACCTGTTGCATTAAACACCCAGTTATGACAGTATTACCATCTCCGTTGCTAATGTGCAACAGTATAAAGAACTACCTGTTTAACATGCTGGATGGCTTTTTCAATGTGCAACAATATAAAGATGAACTACCTGTTTAACATGCTGGTTGGCTTTTTTTGTGACATATGTTTTCTGTTTTTCCAAATTAATAATAATTACACCCACCCACCCAGATAAATTTTACTTTTTAAACTAATCCAGTGAAATCTGATCTTTAACCTAAGAATGCTTATTATTTGATCATCTAATCACTCAACAGACAGATCTTTATAGAAAAAAAAATGGGAGGAACTGAATAGGAACTGAATGTCTTAGTTTTGGGGGCTATTCAAGGCAAGTTAGAATAAATAAAATATCTACACCATTTAGGGTTGACTCTCCAACTTACAAAAAGCTCTCATACATTGTGTTTAAAATATTTTGGTTCCATGATGTCATGAATAATCTATTCCATGTGTAAATTAATCATAACTGAATAACCTGCTCAAATTCATCCTAATCAGATTACTAATATTTTTCCAAACATGCAGTTGCCTCTTTTTCAGTGGTTTGTTTAAGCTTTAATTTGCACATAAGCAGTTTCAGTCAACTAAGGGTGCAGATGAAATGGTACACATCTACCTTTTTACTCAGTTTTAGGTTTGTTAGTTTTTTTTAATACAGGAGGGTTTTTCTTACAGGTTCACTGCTGATGATCAGGCTTCTTGTGTTTATGTGCATAGACGTTTAAAACTACATACATGAATAGTTAAAAAGCTTGGCTTTGATATCATTTCACCATTCATTTGCTTTTAGACATGGCCAAAAATCATATTATAACCTCAGTGTTGTAAACTATGAATTGGTTCAATTAATAAATATAGTAATGAGCAAACATACAATTTCAGTTCATCATTCATCACCCAAACAAGGCATTGATAAATCCTAAAAAAATAACATTAAAACACATCTGATCAAAACAGAATCTGTCCATTTCTCTTCTATTATAGCACCAAAATATACAAGAAATATGATTTTTTAATGTATTATTTGGATAATATTTTCAGTTATAATTTTATACACAACAGGTCTTGTGCATCATAAATGAAGGAAATGAAATGAAGAAAAGTTGAATTAATTTCTATTTTTCTAGGGTCGATTTTGGATATCCATCTGTGAATTCAGAATGTGTATTTCTGCAGAAAAGTATAAATGTCCTTACCTGCAATAAGGAAAAGCTTTCTTGCTGTAAATGAAGATGAGAGGCTGAAGTGTGGACAATGTGGTATTATCTGAGTACACTCTCCACCTAGTCTGTAGCTCTCTCCTCAAGCCTGACTGCAAATAAGGCAGATGCATAAAATACACACACATTCTCTCTCTCTCTTTTTCGCCAGCCTCCCTCACCCCCACTCCATCTCTTCCACACAAACATGAAAATCCAAATGTACAAGTTCAAATCTTCCTCTGAAGCTTTTGGTGATGGCTGTAGTTATAAGCGAAAATGTTATATTTTTAGCCATACTTCTGTCACACTATTGTAAATGCTTTGGTCATCTTAAAATGTAATATTTTACCACTCTGTTCTGTAATCTTTAGGGTAGTTCCCTCTATACATGGAGGCTGAAAAAGCTCCTACTGTGCAGCAGATATTTATTTTCTTTTGTTGGTTTGAGCACATCTCTCCCACATGGAGGCTTGTTTCTATAAGTGGAAACATGAAGTGCCAGGGCAAGTGCGCAAGCGACTAATAAGAGCCAGGTGACAGGCCCACTGAGTGGATCAGCCTGCCACTCATACTTTTCTTTCATGCATCTTTTATTATATATTTATTTACTATTGTTTTTGGAATGCATTTTCAAGCTTTTAATGGACTCTGGTATTCTGTGGCTGCTGTTGTACACTTTCAACATCTGACCCTAACCCAGGTGGGTTTGAGGTGCAAGTAATCAAGATGTTGTTTATGAGACATTGCTTTGTGAGGTTTTATATTAAATATGCATGCAGCCATTAAACGATCCAAGGCCAACCACCTTACACGCTGTCAAGTTTTTGTTAACTGACTGAAGAGTTAGGTAATGTGATTGAGCCTAAAAAAAGTCTGTGCAGCAAAATGTATTTTGTGCCACAGCAATCTATCTGCGCTGGTGATAAACAACTGGCTGAACTGGTTGAGAAGGAAGAGTGTGCTGTTTCTCTGCTTTTGTTGTTTTCCCTTCATAGCAGCAATATGTTGAAAACACAATACTAGTCAGCAGGTGCTAAAGGCCAGGCTCAGCCACAATCCATTTTTCTTGCTCAGAGACGAAGTAAACTAAGAATCCTAAAAGGAAGAGAATATCTCCCGAAAGCCACTGAAATATGATTTTCAGTTTTTATTCTCCACATGTGGCTCACAACATGCCTTAAAGCAGCCTGTGTAAGCTGTGTCTTCAGAGCAACGTCAACCTTCATCCCTACATGTGGGCACAGACAAAACAAAAAGGACTAGATTCAGCCACAGTATTAAATTCTGAGGACCCTTGGATATAAATATCTAGGTTTTTGGGTTTCTTCTGTGTCACTTTTAGTGTTTAGTTAGAGGTTCATTTTTTCATTTCATTTGATAATTCTCTTACTGCTCCAGTCTACCGCAAGGTTGTTTTTATGCTTTAAAGCTGTAGTATGATTACTTTATTCTCTAGTAAGGGAAGGTAAACTGAAACTGTTATTGTGTATATATAATGTATATATATATATATATATGTATATATGTTTATATATATATATATATTATTACTGTTTATATACTATTGGTTTGAATGGATTCCCACATACTCTAGCAGTTTCAAGTTTTTGATTAAGAGGCCTTTCGGACGTTTCTCCTGTTTCTTGAATACGTTACAGGTCTCAAGCAGCCGGTTGTTCAGGTCAGATCTTTGAAGCGAGACCTGTTTTGTTAAACATTGACTCACAGTTAGAGAACATTTGAAGCTTGCATCTATAGGTTGCCACATGCCTCTCTGTATGGAGGGGATAGGAGCACCATCTGCAGGTTCTTAAATGAAAACATTCTTTCTTAAAGGCATAATAAGGAAGTAATGTTATGTTATGGGATAGAGTAAAATAAACGTCATTTGGTACGTTTGTTCAAAAATTGTCCAAGCGGTACTATACACACATGCACACACATACATACATACATACATACATACATACATACATACATACATATATATATATATATATATATATATATATATATATATATATATATATATATATATATATATATATATATATATATATATATATATATATATATATATATATATATATATATATATATATATATATCTATACAGTGGGGCAAAAAAGTATTTAGTCAGCCACCAATAGTGCAAGTTTTCCCACTTAAAAAGATGAGAGAGGCCGGTAATTTTCATCATAGATATACCTCAACTATAAGAGACAAAATGAGAAAAATAAATCCAGAAAATCACATTGTCTGATTTTTAAAGAATTTATTTGCAAAATATGGTGAAAAATAAGTATTTGGTCAATAACAAAAGTTCATCTCAATACTTTGTTATTACCCTGTTATATACCCTTTGTTGGCAATGACAGAGATCAAACGTTTTCTGTAAGTCTTCACAAGGTTTTCACACACTGTTGCTGGTATTTTGGCCCATTCCTCCATGCAGATCTCCTCTAGAGCAGTGATGTTCTGGGGCTGTCGCTGGGCAACATGGACTTTCAACTCCCTCCAAAGATTTTCTATGGGGTTGAGATCTGAAGACTGGCTGGGCCACTCCAGGACCTTGAAATGCTTCTTACGAAGCCACTCCTTCGTTACCCGGGCGGTGTGTTTGGGATCATTGTCATGCTGAAAGACCCAGCCACGTTTCATCTTCAATGCCCTTGCTGATGGAAGGAGGTTTTCACTCAAAATTTGACGATACATGGCCCCATTCATTCTTTCCTTCACACGGATCAGTCGTCCTGGTCCCTTAGCAGAAAAACAGCCCCAAAGCATGATGTTTCCACCCCCATGCTTCACTGTAGGTATGGTGTTCTTTGGATGCAACTCAGCATTCTCTCTCCTCCAAACACGACGAGTAGAGTTTTTACCAAAAAGTTCTATTTTGGTTTCATCTGACAATATGATATTCTCCCAGTCATCGTCTGGATCATCCAAATGCTCTCTAGCAAACTTGAGACGGGCCTTGACATGTACTGGCTCAAGCAGGGGGACACGTCTGGCACTGCAGGATTTGAGTCCCTGGCGGCGTAGTGTGTTACTGATGGTAGCCTTTGTTACTTTGGTCCCAGCTCTCTGCAGGTCATTCACTAGGTCCCCCCGTGTGGTTCTGGGATTTTTACTCACCGTTCTTGTGATAATTTTGACCCCACGGGGTGAGATCTTGCGTGGAGCCCCAGATCGAGGAAGATTATCAGTGGTCTTGTATGTTTTCCATTTTCTAATAATTGATCCCACAGTTGATTCTTCACACCAAGCTGTTTACCTATTGCAGATTCAGACTTCCCAGCCTGGTGCAGGTCTATAATTTTGTTTCGGGTGTCCTTTGACAGCTCTCTAGTTTTGGCCATGGTGGAGTTTAGAGTGTGACTGTTTGAGGTTGTGGACAGGTGTCTTTTATACTGATAACGGGTTCAAACAGGTGCCATTAATGAAGGTAACGAGTGGAGGACAGAGGAGCCTCTTACAGAAGAAGTTACAGGTCTATGACAGCCAGAAATCTTGCTTGTTTGTAACTGACCAAATACTTATTTTCCACCATATTTTGCAAATAAATTCTTTAAAAATCAGACAATGTGATTTTCTGGATTTTTTTTTTCTCATTTTGTCTCTCATAGTTGAGGTATATCTATGATGAAAATTACTGGCCTCTCTCATCTTTTTGAGTGGGAGAACTTGCACTATTGGTGGCTGACTAAATACTTTTTTGCCCCACTGTATATATATATATATATATATATATATATATATATATATATATATATATATATATATAAATATATATATATATATACTGTATATATATGTATGTGTGTGCATGTGTGTATAGTACCGCTTGGACAGTTTTCAAGCTAATGATATATACAGTATATATATATTAGGGGTGGGACGCGATTAAAATTTTTAATCGCGATTAATCGCATGGCTGTGAAATTAATTAATCGAATTAATCGCATTTTAATCGCATACTTGGAAACAGCAGGAAGTAACTTTTTCCACATGGATTTTGAATGACAACACATAAGCTTAATAAACAAAATATTGTTTGTTTATTTTCTTTAAAGAAATATCAACATGCCAGTGCAAATTTTAAAGTTCAACATATTTAGGAACGCTAAACTCAGAATTCAGGTAGCTCTACAGGTATAGGTAGTGCTTAATACTGCTTTTTAAATGCAAAAATGCAATACTCTCAAGTACATTCAGAACAAAAAGCCTCTGAGGCTTTAACACAATTCGTGGATTTATCAACAGTTCAACTGTTTACAAAAAATAAGTCAGAAATAAAATGAAATTCAGTCCAACTCTTTGTAACATTGGCCATTCAGACAGTTCAGTTCAACATAAAGTGACAGTGATTGACCTCCATTTTTTCCCATTTGAAACACAACTGGCCAACTGGCCTCAGGATACACATTTAACTTATTACTTCCTCTCTTTCAGCCAGTTGCTGAGACATACTAGCCTGTTCACATTTTCGGAGCTCAGGGCTGCCCTCTTCTTTTGAACTATATTACCTGCCAGGGAGAATAATCTTTCGCAGGGTACCGAAGTGGCAGGGCTGCCTAGATACTTGCGGGCCAGGACAGAGAGCTGTGGATGGGCTCTCTCATGAGTGGACCACCACTGCAGTGGGCAGTCTCTCTCACTGATGGTAGGCTCTGCCTTGTAGCGGGCCACGGCTCCTTTGGGCCCATCTTCATCCTCTGATTCAGAGTCGGAATTATACAGCAGGAGGCTCCTCTTCCATGCTGGCTCCTCTGTGCATTCCGGAGTGGCTCTGCCTGGTTGTTGTTGCACCAGTGCCTCAATGCTGGTCCACACCTCTCCTCGCTCTCCTCTTGGTAGACACTTTAGGTCCTTAAGATCAGAATAAGAATCAGAATCAGGTTTGTGGTCACATTAATCAGAGATTTACAGAGTACAAGCTGGATGAAATTCATTAGTATACATGGTTTCCATCATCCAGAATCTCCTCTACTGGTTGTGCCTATGGTCAAGTCTAAACTGTCCAAATTAGAACTGCCCTAACAGCATCTTGTTTTAAAAAGAAATTAAAAATAGCATTATTCTCATCTGCCTTTGGTAATAGTTGGTTAATTATCTTCAATCCATAAAACAACATGGATTATTTTTTTCTGTTTTCATTTTTTTTACTCTTTAGCACATTGAATGACAATTATGTGATAATGTGCTATACAAGTCATGTTGATGTTGTTATTCCATAAGAGAGGGGAGGGGGCCGAGGAAATAAAAGAGTCATAAGCAATAAAAGAGAAAAATAAAGAAGACCATTACACACCTTAAAGCGAGGGTCGAGTGCTGTAGCCACTTGTAGAAATCTGTGATTTAGGGCATCCTCACGCTGAGACAGGTCCTTTTCAAAAGCAGCCTTGAACTTCACCACATAGGCTGGGTCATCATCTGAGGCCTTCATGGTGCGGGTCAGGTGGCGGAGAGCAGGCAACACAACTGAGCATGACACATAATTCTCACCCCCAAGGAGCTCTGTCACGTCTCTGCAGAGGATAGTTAATCACGCAGTCAATATCATTTATATAGCAAATTTTACACTACTGTCATTCAATGTGCTAAAGAGCAGAGAAAGACAAGAAAGAATGGTATTGCAATTGTCAACTCTACAGGTAAATAAAGCATAGATTAATTTCTGCAAACTCTGTTTACATACAGCATTTTTAATTTATGCAACGTTCCTAGGTGCCAAAACGTTGATTACAGTGACACATTATTTTGCCATTTAATATTGGATTAAAAACTGTATACTGTAGTCTTAGTGATATTAATATTATTCAGTACAATACATTTTGGAAAGGCAATTTAAATTATACAGGACTCTCATAGTCCAGTCATAACGTTTTTAATCCAATTAATGAACGTTGATGAGTATTTACCTGCATGGGGAAAGTAGGGTTTCGAGCCTCTGCAGTCTGTCCCATTCTGCTGCATTCAACATGGTGAGCTTGTGCTTCTGTTTGGCGAGCGTAGCCTTAACAGCATCTTGGTTTTTCAGCAGACGAGAGACCATCAACAGGGTGGAATTCCACCTAGTGGGAACGTCCTGTATCAGTGGCTCGTTGTCTTGGCCCAGTTGTGTTTGTTCGTTGTGCAGTTCCTCTGTGTTTGAGGGGCTGTGTTTAAAATGCCCAACTATCTTACGACATCTCGCCAGTGTGGCTGTGAACCCGCTGTCACTAAGACAAACTGTGATCGTCCTCTGTACCATGTGAGCAATACACGGCATGTGCTGAAATGTGAGCTGTGTCATTGCAGCGATCATGGTACGGGCACTATCTGTTCCGATTGTGGTGACTTTCTGTGTGATTTCCCAGGCCTCCGTCACAGACTCAAAATCTTCTGCCACGTTTTCAGCAAAGTGCCTCGTGGTTATCTTCTTGATGGTTAAGGCAAACGAGTGAAGGCGCCACTTGTTGTCAATAAAGTGTGCGGTCACGCCGAGGTAATTTGCGTTGCTGACTGAGGTCCAGTGATCTCCAGTAATAGCGACGCATTCGGCTTTCTTCAACAAATTCTCCTTCTCCCCCTTTTCACTGTCGTAGAGCTGCTGGACCCTCTTTGTCACCGTTTTTCTACATGGCAGCTCATACGTGGGGTCAGACAGGGCAATCTGAAGAATCTTTTCCAGCCCCTTATCTTCTACAACAGCAATGGGTCTGCAGTCGAGAGCCGCCCAGTAAGCCAGCGCGTTGGTCATTTTATCGGCCTTGGTCTTGCTTACCCTGCCCTTGAAGCCAGTCAGCTGGTGTAGTGTGGGTTGTTTCGTCTTCCTCCCAGTTGGACTAGCTTCCACGCTAGTATCTGCCAAGCTAGCTGCTACATGCTTTGCGTTCAGGTGATATTTGAGGCTTGATACGCTGCGGTGATAGGCGAATTCCTTGTTGCATAATTTACATATGACCGCGCTCTTATCGACTCTTCCCTCCTGTATTTTAAAACAAAATTTCCCCTGCAAAGGACCAACTAAAATGTTTTCATCTGCTTCGTCTAATTCTTCCATGGTTGTCTCTCATAGTTTAAAGCAACTTTCTTCTCTGTTCTTCTTCTTCAGTTTCCATCCGACGGTATTCTGGCCATAGTTGTAATGCTGCCCCCACAGGTGAAATAATTACTTGGGTGAAATCCCAAACGACTTCCAGGAGACTGTGGTGTGCGATTAAAATGCGTTAATTTTTTTAACGCGTTAATATTTGTGTGATTAATTAATCGAAATTAACGCGTTAATGTCCCAGCCTTAATATATATATATATATATACTGTATATATCATTAGCTTGAAAACTGTTAAACCATTACAAACCTATATGAATAACCTTTACTTAAGTTGCTCTAATTTTTAGAGCTGAAACTGACGATTATTTTGCAAATCGATTAATCTCTCGATTATTTAGGGGACAAAAAAGGAAAGTGGCGGCCTACTGGTTGGGACGTTGCTCTTGGAATCCAGAGGTTCTAAGTTCAATCCCCACTCCCACAGACTGCCACTCTGGGTCCCCAAACAAAGACCCTCAACCCCACACTGCTCCCCAAGGGGATAGGTTAAATGCAGAGAGTTTATTTCATTGCTATGTAGTTGTAACAGTTTAATGACCAGTGGTGTCAAAAGTACACACATTTGTTACTTAAGTAGAAGTATAGATACTGCAGTTTAAAAACACTCTGGTAAAAGTTGAAGTATCAACTTGACCTCTTTACTCAAGTAAAAGTGAAAAAGTATGAGCTCCAAAAACTACTTAAAGTATAAAAGTATAAAGTAACCTTTAAAAAAAAAACAGCCAGATAGCTCTCGCCTGTGTCCGACCTTTCAGACATTTCAACATCTTTTTCTGAATCTGACGTTGTAGCATGGCATAGACAATTCACATTTACACTTTGAAGAACACCTGCTTGCTTCTGATGATTTCCTTTAGCATCTTTAGCTAACCAATGAGTGTTTGCGTTACATGACTCATCCAATTACACTAGTTTTCACTAGATGTGGATGGCGCCAATGATCTGCATTGGATGGCGCACATCACGTGAAATAAATATTTATAAACATTAAACCGAAGCCAAGAGTAACAGGTAATGTTTGTTTTAAAAGAAATTTAAGGAATAGAAAGTACAGATACTTGTGTGAAAATGTAATAAGTAGAAGTCAGAAGAAGGAAGAAAAATAAGTAATGGAGTAAAGTATAGATACCTAAAAAGTGTACTTAAGTACAGTAACAAAGTAATTGCACTTTGACACCTCTAGGAATGACAAGAAAATGCTGGGAAAAATTTTAGAGACTGGAATTGTTATATAAAGGTAAATGTCTGCTTTGACCTTGGGACTCTTGGATTGCCTTTGAGGCAACATAATTGATAACATTGGAGCACATTTTGCATGTGCCATCAACAACAGCAGTGGAGCAGATTTCTTAGTGGTTTTCCACACCTGTTTTGCTTCGTGCTGATTATGTTTCAATTATACAGCGAATATACGTAAGTCGGAGAAAAAAAAGAAGAATGTGTATATATATATATATATATATATATATATATATATATATATATATATATATATATATATATATATATATATGACAGTATAAGTCTCTTATTTAGCAGGATAATGTTCATTCCTGTCAGTCACACTGCAGTCATTATTCCAGCATGTGTTTCTGCTAGTCAGGAATGCTTTTGAATTTTCCCGAGGCAATACTGTTAAGTAATAGAGTTGGAAATGTATTTGATTCAGTCTCCTGAGAAAGCAATTTGTTCTGCTGAGCTTTCTAAGCAGGTGTGTTTCTTCCTCTCTGCTTCTAAAATTAACTCCCAGGATTTTTAGACATAAAGGTTCAAAATGCTGTCTCAGAACACATTTTCAGGCAGTTTCTGCTCTACCTGAATGATTTCTCCTGTATTGTCAGAATGTTATTGAGTTAGACTGTATTTGTTGATAAGGATGTCGTTTAGCAACATAAAGATATATTTTGAAGGCATTCGTCCTTGAAGCTCAACTCAATTCACTATTCTAAAGGTGTATCAGCTTCTTGGACCTTTACCATGTGTTTTCTTTCATGTTTTGAACAATGTAAACTACTCCAGATATTTGGAAAGCTTAACCAAACGCATGGGAGAAACTTCGGTGTCAAGTTACATTTAGTCGAGCAGTTAAGGACTATTGATATCCCTGAAATGTAAGTTTTAAGACTCTGGAAGAAATGCAGACAAGAACAGTTGTCATCATAAATGTAGATTGCTTGTTTTCACTACTTTTTCTTTGGTAAAAAAGCTATTTCATAAGTTGTAAGGTTTAATTAATTGTTGACTAAAGTTAAACGAAAAATAATGGTTTAAAGTTTACAATTTAAGAATTGTATTTAATTTTTTTTATTTTCAAACTAATATTACACTTGACTCTCATCTAAAATATTAATTCAAGCACTATAGTTTTGACAACTTTGTGGTAAATGCGACTTTTCAAGTCAGAGGACACAGCAATTTCCTCTACATTCAGTCATTCACCTGCTTACACACTGATTACTGTATGTTTCAATTTAAATGACCTTTCACTGATTGTTATCTTTTGATGTAACTGTGCCTTGATAAAGCGTCTATGGCCCTCATATTTGTGTAATATTTTTCAAAAACAAGAGCCAACACTTCTAACATTTGACCCAATTATTAGCTTAATTTGAGATATAAGATTTTAAAGGTCAACATGCAGCACGTGTTGTGTAACGCTGCACCTTGAAAGGTTGTCCTTCTCATAAACTCTACTTTGTAACTTGAGATGGTCAGATCGATAACTGCAATATATAACCTAGAGTATCACCATACAGCAGTAAAATAGGAGCTAACTAAGCCAAAAGTTGTTAATCAAAAAACTCCTACCTGATCAGACATCTAGACATCTTCTTGGTTCTCTGATGTAGGTTTTAATCTGGAGGGGTGTATATGGCCTTGTGTTTAGGTGCTAAATCTATGACTCCTCAGTGTTCTGGTTCAAAGTAGTCCAGTCGTATGGAAAACCGCAACAGCTGAATATTCAATGAATTAAATAAATAAATATTAAATGCATGCTTTTCTCATAGACAGTACTCAAGTTGAGGAGGGATGAGGGGGGATGGCATCCCCCTTCTTAAAAAAAAAATATAAAAAAATCATCCCCCCTTCTTAAATGAGCATTATCACATACCATCCCCTTTGACATTTTATTACCGCATGTGTAAAATTTATACTATATATTAAGAGTAATGTCAATAATATTGCCCTTTCAACATTTGGCGGGCTGCAGGCTTACGAGTAGTTTGAGCAAAATAAATAAAATTAAAAGAAGCAGAGCACGTCACCGTAGCGGAGTGCCGCGCAATTCCCACTCCCCGCTCAGGAGGCAATTTCTGACATTTTTCCCTCATACATGTGTATTGTCTTATTTAACTGGGTGTTAAATTATCGCACTGTTTCCCAGCTGTAAATAAGACCTTGCTCCATTCATGTAGACCTGCGTTTCCTCTTTAATTATTAATTCATTTTACAAGACTACATTAAAACAGCTCACTACGGATCCCATTGCAAGTTAGATAATAGCGTATAATGCATGTATTTCTTTCAAAAACAGGCGCTTACCACAACGATCACTTTATGTAAATCCACTCTGTATTGTCAAGTATAGTTAGTGTATGTTTTTTATGATATTCTATCCCACTTTTTACCACGCAATATGCAATCCTTGTCTCAGCAATTCGGTGGTAAAGTTGAAACATAGACTATAACAGATTATAGGTAAAGACTACAGCATAGGCATTGGCCTAGGTTTTAAGTCCAGCATGAATTTAAATAAAGTCTATTCCATTGACTTTGACTGATGTTGTGAGCGCATCGGAGCGAACTGGAGCAGAGGGAAATCTTCGCTCCCACCTTTGAATTCAAAACCACTCTGCACTCCACCATATTTCTTCCGCTCATCTCTACCGCTTGCTCCACGCTCTGCTCCGCTCAAATGCTCTGCAAAGAAATGACCTACCATGACTATGATGATACCCATGCAAATCCAGGGAATGACTACAGTTCTACTGTAAGGTGCCATAACATGCAAATTGCTTCAGGTTAATAGACTATATTAATTAGGCTATGCATGCTTCCAAAAAATAAAAATTCCACCATTCCCCTTCTTTTTTTCTGAGTGTAAGATGCTGCAGGGAAATCTTACATGGAGCACCATAACCAAGTGGCTGGAATAGTGTAAAGGAACATCTATGCAGAGTATGGGGCGGAAACCCCAAGGTCAAAGTGGGAAACACCCACAAAGATGGTAGAGAATCACAGAGCCAAGATGCTGTGGGATGTCCAGATACAGACAGACCGAATAGTAATGGCAAACCAACCGGACATGGCGATGGTGGGAAAAAAGCAGTGGAAATCCGTTGTGATTGGGTTTTCTTATGTATATATACCGGTGGGGTGTCCATATCCTAATATTTTGTCCTGTGCCCAGCCAAGGCTTTCACCTGTTCAGATACTAAACAGAAACTCGAAACAGAAAGTCAAAGTCCTGACAGTAAAAAAAAAAAAAAGTGATATATGAAAAAACAGGAGTGTACCGATGCCTTTATTAATGGGACAGAGGACACCTGTAAACAGCCTTAAAAGTTCTGCCTGAGAGCTAAAGAGTTGACTTGGTTTTTCCTGACATAGAAATATTGTAGCTTTGGCCTTTTGGGGTCGTTGTTCTGTTGGAAGGTGAACCTTCACACCAGCCTCGTGTATTTTATTCCAGTTTTAGGTTCTGTCCAGGATTGTCTTGTCTTCATCCATGTCTAGCCAGCTTTCTTGCTTCTGATAAAGACATCAACCAAAGCCATGTTTCAACAACTTGTTTACATTGTGTTATACATGTAGGTCAAAGTACTGTATTTTGGTCTCTTTCAGAATCACAAAACACCTCTCCACATTCTAGGTCTGCTTATTCAGGTACTGTCAAGAGTGTCTGTCTTCTGGCCATAAAGATCAAAATTAAGGGCAAAAAACATCAAAACAACAACAGCAAGAATA